CAGATCTGCACAGAGGCATCATTAACCGAATACTTTGCTCATCTGCAATATTTATTCCTGCGGCAACGTGAACAGTCACCCACCCTGTTATCTCCCAGGCGTAAAATTGTTTTATGGCCCCATGCACCATTCTCTATCTAGCTCTCTTCACCGGGGAGCAACCTGCCCCCCACTTTCACCTCTCACTTCTCAGAGGCTTCTGTTCCCTTGTAGAGCAGGCCACAGGTGAAGATAATAATAGAATTCTCGGTACTTCGAGCTGGAAGGGACAATCTAGTCTAACTACCTCATTTTACAGATGAGAAAACTGAGGCTCAAAGGGGCTATGACTTGCTAGAGGTCCCACAGTTAGTGACAGAGCCTGCATCAGACCCAGGGCTTCCTACTCCACAGACAACGCTCTTGCTGCAGAGCAGTGCCATATTGTTGTACAGAGCTTCCAGCAGCCCACATTTCATAAGATCATAAAGCTAGAGCATGGAGGGAGCTTAAGACCCTCTAGTTCAACCCCCTCCTATTAAATTGAAGGAACGGAGGCCCAGCATGGTTAAGTGAATCGCCTGAGGTCACACAATGACTAAGACAAAGATTCGAACCCGGGTCCTTGGCTCCTGAGCCTGGGATCTTAAGTCTTGAAGTCGAGATCCATTTTCAAATCCTGCCTTTATCCCATTTACTAGCAATGTGACACTGGCTAAGCACTTCCCTCTCAACATCTCAGTTTTCTTTTAATAAAGGGAGATAATAATCCCTAGCATGATTGAGAGGAAAGGCATCTGTAGAACTGTAAAATACCAGAGAGTAAGCTCTGAAAGGGTAAAAATAAAGGTATATTTATCCTTGGATCTCCCCTAGGACCTTGCACAGCGACTTACAGCTATTTCATAAAGGCTTGTCAACTTGACCGTTAAAGTTCTATAGGCAAAGGAGTTATTGCTTTGGGCAGGTAGGTGGCACACTGGACAGAGCATTGGGCCTAGAGTCAGTAAGATCTGAGTTCAAATCCAGTCTCAGACTCTTACTAGCTATATGACCCTGAGCAAGTCACGTCACCTCTGTTTGCCTCAGTTTCCTCGACTGTAAAATGGGGATAAGAACAGCACCTACTTCCCAGGGTTGCTGTGATCAAAAGAGATAAAATTTGTAAAGTGTTTAACACAGTGCCTGGCACATAGTAGGTGCTATATAAATGTTTATTCCCTTTCCTCACCGCCCACTATTACTTTTACTGACTTAGGCAGAATGGTATAATGTTGGACTTAGAATTAGGACGGCTGGAATTGAATCTCAACTATGATGCTTCCTACTTGGTGATCTTGGACAAGCCACTGAATCTCCGGGTGTTTTTCAATCACCCCAAAAGCTCCCATCCTGATTCTGAGGCCCTTTCCTTCAGTCATTGAGCCTCTGTTTCTTCATCTGTGAAATGGGGCTAATAATCCTAATAATGAGGAGGTAAGCTCTTTACATATAAATCTCAAATCTTAATGGAAGTGAGATTTTTAAGATTAAAAAAAGTTTTTAAATTGTTTTAACATGCAATTGGAGAGAATAAAATATTATATTTTTAAAGGATTATTATTATACAAGCTGCCTCTTTCTCTCCACAAGCCAGTGAAAGGTCATTGGTCACCAGGAGAGTGCAGCTAGGCCCTGGGCCTAATTACTTTGGGTTTTCTACTTCCTCCAGCCCCCAAACATTTTTATCCAGGTGTAGTCAAGTCTAAGGAGTAGTGGAGAGCCCTTGATTCTATTTTCAATCCTTATTATTGCTGGAGTAGCAGAGTGGCATTGGGCAAGGCAGAATCTCAGAGTTCAGAGGGACCCTGGGGGCCCTCTGGTCCAAGCCAAACCTGAACAAGCCTGCCCTCAACCATACACCCTACAAATAGTCATTGAACCTTTGTTTGAAAACCTCCTATGAAGGGAAGCTAAGATTTAAGGTTAACTTGTAAAAAGTTTACCTCTCCACCATTAGGATTATTAGTCCCATTTCACAGATGAAGAAACAGAGGCTCAATGATTGAGGGAAGGGGCCTTAAGATTGAGGTGGGAGATTTGGGGGTGATAAAAGCAACTTCCAAAGCATCTCTCCTATTTTTGGACTGTTAACAATTGGAAAGAAGTCTTTCCTTGCCTAAAACTTAAATTTATCCATTTAAGTCTTCCCTGTGCTAAAGCTAAACAGTAATTCCACCTTCAACCAATCTGCATATGTCGTGAACTTAAGACCCATCATCATCCTGGATGCCCTCCTCTTGATATTCTCTGTCTTATCATTATCCTCTTTAAAAACAAGGCCCCTGAACTGAACACAATACTCCAGATGGAGATCTAACCAGAGTAGAGTATGGGCAGCCATCACCTCTCTCATTCTGTATGCCATGTCCCTCAATACAGACCTAGATCATAGTAGATTTTTTTTGCTAATATATTGTTGACTTACATTGAGCTTACATTCCACTAAGATCCCCAGATCATTTTCATATTAACTGTTGTCTATCTGGCCCTTATACTTGTGAAGATGATTTTTTAACCTAAGAGTACATATTTATCCTTATTAAATTCATCTTGTTAAATAGATTTGACCCTATATCCTAGCCTATCAAACTCTTTTTGAATCCCGACTCTGTAGGTCAATGTGTTAGCTATCCCTCCCAATTTTATTTCATCTGAAAATTTGATAATTAAGGTCATTTAGGTGGCACAGTGGATAGAGCAGTGGGCCTGGAGTCAAATCCAGCCTCAGACACTCACTAGCTGTGTGACCCTGAGCAAGTCACTTAACCTCTGTTTACTTCAGTTTCCTCATCTGTAAAATGGGTGTAATAACAGCACCTACCTCCCAGGGTTGTTGTGAGGATCAAATAAGAAAATAATTGTAAAATGTTTCACACGGTATCTGGCATGTAGTAAGTGCTGTATGGATGTTAGCTATTATTATTGTTATTATTATTATTATTATAGTTATTATCTCTCTAGCCAAGTAATTAGTAGAAATTTTAAATGGTACAAGGACAAAAGCAGATCCTTGAGACAGTTCACTTTACACGCTCTCATTATTTAATTTGACCTTACAAATTTTGTGAGATGGTTAGCACAGATCCTACCTATTTGACAGATAATTGTTGTTCAATTGTTTTTCAGTCCTGTCCAACTCCTTGTGACTCCATTTGAGGTTTTCTTGGCAAAGGTACTGGAGTGGTTTGTCATTTTCTTCTCCAGTTCATTTTACTGAGAAGGAAACTGAAGTAAACAGGGTTAAGTGACTTGTCCAGGGTCACACAGCCAATAAATATCTAAGGCCAGATTTGAACTTAGGAAGATGAGTCTTCCTGACTCCAAATTGCATTCTATCCACTACACCACCTAGCTGCCCTATTGACAGATAAATCAGCCAATAAACAAGTATTCATTAAGAATCTGCTGTGTGCCAGGCACTGAAGACACAAAAACAAAAATAAAACAGTGCCTGCCCTGAAAGAACTGATATTCTAAACAGATCAAGGAGCTGTTTAGAGACAAGGAAACTACACCAGGCTCTCATAGCAAGTAAGTGGAAACATCAATTCTATCCTTCCAGGTCTGAGGATTACTTCCTGACCTCTCTTAGGCATACTGAGCCTAGATTCTTTCACCCCTCTTTCATTCTGGCCAAGATTTCATACGTTGTAAACTCCACGATATCCAAGGCATTTGATAGCTGGGCCTGTGATCAATTTGTGGGAAATTCCCCTTCTAGACAGAAGGAAAATAATGGAGACCATAACAGGAGAGCTCTGTGAAAACCCTCACCAGTCTTCCATCCAGTCTTTCCCACTGATTCCATCCAAATACCTGGGGTTGAGGCAAAATTCTGACCTATCACATTATATATCCACTTTGATAAGCAACCTTCTCAGTCAGTCAATCAATCAACAAACATTTACTAAGGAAATTAAGAGAGCAGCTAGATGGGGCGTGGATACAGAACTGGGCCTGGAGTCAGAAAGACCTAAGTTCAAATTTGATCTCAAGACACTAACTGCGTGAACCTGGGCAAGTCACTTAACCCTGTTTGCCTTAGTTTCCTCATCTGTAAATGAGCTGGAAAAGGAAATGGTAAATCACTCAAGTATCTTTGCCAAGAAAACTCCAAATGGTGTCACCAAGAGTTGGACGGAATTGAAAAATAACTGAAAAACAATAACTAGGACTAGTCCCTTAAACTTTCTTGGCCTCAGTTTCCCCATCCCTCATCTAAAATGAGGATAATGATATTTGCACAGCCTACTTCACACAGACATGATGGATTCTTAATATTCCTAATGCTCAAAGCTCTTGGACAATGGCATGCCCCATCTTTCACTTTAGGTACCTGAGAAGAGCCTGAATAGCCTCTTGTTACAAAGACTGTAGTGGAAATATTTCCACTGAATAGTTAGTCAGTAGACTAGCATTTATTAAGCACCTACTATATGCCAGCCACTGTGTTAAGTGTTGGGGTTACAAAGAAAGGAGAAACATAACTCCCGGTCTTCTCAGGGAGCTCACAGTCAAATGTGGGGGACAATATGCAAACAATTATATATAGACAAAGTATATAGGATATGTTGTATATAATCTCAAAGGGAAGGCACCAGCATTAAGGAGGATAAGGAAACGACTCTTGTAGAAGGTGGGACTCTTTAGCTGAGACTTGAAGGAAGCCAGAAAGTGGATATAAGAAATGAAAGAGTTCCAGACATGGGGAAGTGGACTCTGGACTCCTGGAGGGGGTGGGGCGACATCTAATATAGCTCTCACTCTCAATGAATTCTCTCGCGTGTCCAGTTCAGTCTCTCCTATTGCGGCATCAACCAGTTTTATGCCACCCTGGGGTGCCTGTGGAATTCATGACATCCTGCACCAAAGACTGTTCCTTGGGTTTGGGTCTAAGGAGAGGTATTCAAAGTTGAGAAACACCAATGTGAAGGGGAATTAAAAAGACATCCTCCTTTTCTCCTTTTCTACATTGTGAGGTCTCACCACCTGGAGCTTTCAGGAGCAGGCCCGGCAAAGATCCAGGCTCGAGGCACAGCATCAGCTTGGGACAGCATGAGAACACAGAAGATTCAGTTACGCCAATGCATGAAAAAGACCAGGTAAGGAGGCCAGGCCGGTGTCATCCAAGGAATCACAGAATCTCTAATCTGGAAGGGACCTCAGAAGGAGGCTAGTCCAACTCATACCTGAGCAGGCCTTCTCTCTGCAGAATCAACAAGTGGGTCCCCAGCCCCCAATTGGGTAGGATAGGTACAATTTCAACAAGTAGGAGGTGAGAAGAGGGAATTCCAAACAAAGGGATCAGCATAAGCAAAGACTTGGAGACCAGAAATCAAGCTCCCCAGCCCCTAAAAAAGGAGGCTAAGCAACTAAGACTGAGAAGGGTCAAGACTTAATGAGGATGCCAGAGTAGTCTTCAAGTATCTAAATATGAAAGATATTTTAAGGCTGTTTGGCCTCTCAGAACAGTAAGGGGAGAAAGTCAGTATAACATGATAGAAAAAGTGGTGCTGGAAACAAATAGTGGGGATCCAGGTTCAAATCTCAGCTCAGCTATTTATCAACCTGCGTGAACTGGAGCAAGACACACAGCCTGGTGGTACCTGAGTTTCTAATTTGTAAAATTCTTTGATCCTTAAAGTGTTATGGGAATAGGTATTATTTCTTTATTATCAGGGCTTTCAAAAAATGGAAGAGTGTGCACTGCATCACTCAAGGTGTTAAAACAGAAGATGCTAGTCCCATGAACTTCCTGTCAGTGCTGTCCAGTGATGGAGCTGGTGGCTTTTGGAGGCCATAAGTTCTATGGCACCAGAAGTGTTCAGATAGAGGATGACTGGCCTCTTGTCAGGAATGTTGTCAAGGGGATTTCTGCCCTTGAAGGGAGTTTGCACTAGGTGTCCAATGAAGTCCCTTCAAGCTCTGGGGGTCTGCAATTTTATAATTCTGTGAATCACCTCTGACAGCTAGGTCCTGCCTTGGGGCAGGGCAGTTAGCTTCAATGCACATGAAGAGAATTGGGCTGAAGTAACAGCCTGGGAGCTTCTAAACTCTGGTACTGTAAATCAGGCCAGAGCTGCCCTTCCAGCACTGAGGGTGACACCTCTGCAGAGACTTAAGCCAAACCTTCCCTTAATTGCTGAAATAACGGACCCGGTGTCAGAGACTGGTGTGAACATCGAGGGGTAGAGATGGGCGGGAGAAGGGGGAGGAAGAAGAGGTGAAATACAAACGCTGGCAGAGAGATCTGTCATCCTTCTATGAGCTCCATATATTCAGTCATTCTGACATTTAAGATCAGTCATGTTAGAAATGGAAATGGAGAGGTAGGGGAAGGGAGAGGGAACAGAGGTGAATACCATGGTATCCTGATTTCAAACGCATGTGATTTATACTTGAATTACAGAGGCAAGGAGGACACCTCCAGCCTCAAACAACCCAAGCAATAGAACGGGCTGGATTTGACCAGAATTGTCATAGTGGGTAGGCAGTGGGGAGAAGGGAGTCGAACCGTAGACTGGGAACCTCAGACAACTCACGTCTCCACTCCCCCATTATTACCTGTATGACCTCAATTATTTCCCGTCCTCTCTCTGGTCTTCCCATTTCCCTTCTGAAAAAATGAAGGAATTGGACTGGATGACCTAGATGTCCAGTTTATTTCGTCTGTATCTTGTTTGTACATAGTTATTAGCATGTCACCTCCCCCGTTAGATGGTGAGATCCCTAACACTGTTTTTTACCTTTCTTTATCCCCGATACTTACTACAATGCTTGGCAAATAATAGGTGCTTAATAAATGTTGATTGAGGGACAGATTGACCTCCTTTATGGGTCCTTCCAGTTCCAATGGTCTATGTTCCATTGAATTGGTGAGGGTCCATCTTAATCATTCAGAAAAAAAGGAATACAGTTGGAAAAGCCATGACTTGTGAATCAGAAGACTTGGGTTTTAGTGCCAGACTTATTTCAGCCCTTTGTATGACTTTGCACAAGTCCTTCCCTCTCTCTGGGCCACAGTTTCCTCCTCTGTAAAATGACCCCTCAACTTCTCCACCATAAAGCATCAGCTATGGATCCAGAGCTATTTGGCCATGGGACAAGTTTCTTCCCTCTCTAAGCCTCAGTTTCCTCAATTGTAAAATGAGGGTGAAAATGCTAAAGCCCCTTCAATGTCTAAATCCTGTCATCCCATGCAGCATCAGGCAATTCCCTTCCCATATCACTATCCCTAAGCTGTTTTTTCACCTATGCCTGGGGATTAGAGGAGCACTTTATATATTCTCATTGGCTCTGGTAGGAAAGTCTAACAAATCCCAAAGAGCAATCTAGACTCTCAACCCTAGAAGGTGAGGGACCACAGAACTGATTAACATAATAATCTCTCACATTCATATAGCGCTTTACACAATCATCTTATTTTTTCCTTATAACGGTCCCATGAGATAGTGTGGATATTCTTATCCCCATTTTACACATGAGAAAACTGAGGCTCTCAAAGAGACCAATAGGATTACAGAACTTGAAGGGAGACATCATTGAGGTCTTGGAGAAGGTAAATAATTGACCTACCATCATATGGCTGATAAGCAGCCAATGGATGGGCAGCTAGGTGATACAGTGAATAGAGAACTCAGACCTGAGTTCAAATTTGGCCTTAGAGACTTACTAGCTATGTGACCCTGGGCAAGTCCCTTAACCCTGTTTGCCTCAAGTGGCTTTGCCAAGAAAACCCCAAAAATAGGTCATGAAGACATGAATGAACAACAACTTCAGAGAGGCCAGTGGAGAAGTTGACCCTTCCTCACATCTGTGATTCTGAGACTGGCACTTTCACCATGTTGCCCAAGGCCTGAAGGCCAGGACTTGAACCAAATGCTTCTGACTTTGAGCTCAAGGCTTCTGACTGTAAATAAAAAGTTCATTTCATGATACCGCAGCTCTCTAAACTGCATTTGAATAGCATTTACCTCTAGAACATTTCCAGTAAGTGACTGTCAAGTCTGACCTCCAATGACAAGGAATTCACTATCCCCTAATGTAGCTCATTCCACATTTTGACAACATGGATTGTTGGGAAGGTTTTCTTTGTGTTTAACTGAAATTGGCCTCTGCAGATTTCCCATCCCATGCCCAAGGGCCATCTCTAGTCATTCTGATCTATTGTGGTTTGTCCTTCATTCTTTTTTTTTTTTAGTCAATTGGGGTTAAGTGACTTGCCCAGAGTCACACAGCTAGTAAGTGTCAAATATTTGGTCTGAGGTTGGATTTGAACTCAGGTCCTCCTGACTTCAGGGCCAGTGCTGTATGCACTGCACCACCTAGCTGTCCCTTTGTCCTTCAATCTTGAAGAGGACCATGACATCAAGGAGATAATGATGAAACTTGCAGTTGACTTTGATTTGAGTGAGAAAGGACTGTGCAAAGTCACCAGCCTCACTTTCTTCTCCAGAGCCATCTGGGTCCAGTGGCCAGATATCAGTCAAGACAACTAGAGACAGTCCAGGATGCAGTGGGAGACCTTGGCTCTTTTAAGCTAAGGTCTTTCCAGGTTCTCACTTTGAAAAGGGGCCATCCCTTGATTCATCCTGATCTATATCTGGCCACTGGACCCAGATGGCTCTGGAGGAGAAAGTGAGACTGGTAATTTGCACAGCTCTGCCTCACTTAAATCCAATTCACTTGCAAATCATGGCATCACCTCTTTGATGTCATGGTCCTCTTCAAGAACAAAGGACAAACAACAATCCCATGCCCACTTTGAGGAAGTCCAGGGAGAGCAGTCCTCTTAGTTGGCCCACTGAAGCCCTTTCCAGTTTTGGTATTCTATAATTGGAGAAAGGACCTTCCTTGGGGTGGGGCTGTGGGTATGTGCACCTAAGTGTGCAATACTGGCTTTTTGAGGACCCATGAGGAGAACATGTGAGGGGGCAGGTGAAAAGGAGAGCATGAGCCCTACCTGATGTAATGACCTGGATAGGGCAAGAATGGACTCATCCTAGAGCAGGAAAGAAAGAGTCTACCTAGTCTGACCTGGGGGACATTAGTCAGCCAGGCTAGGCATAAAGAATGTTCACTACTGAGAGTTAAGAACTTCATTTAGGAAAGCCAAAGGATTTCCTAGCATTGTAGGATTTGGAGGTCATCAACTCCAACTTCATTTTAATTATAAGAAAACTGATCCTTCACTCAAAAAAAAAAGAAAGAAAAGAAAAAGAAAAAGAAAAAGAAAACTGAGGTCCAGTGAAGTTATGGGATTTTCCCAAAAATAAACAACCTAGAGAGGCAATATTGTAGAGGGCTAAGCACAAAGTCAGGAAGATCTGGTTTTAAGTTCTTTCCTTGATATAAACTAGTTGTGTGACTCTAGACAGCTCTTAGAACTTCTCAGTACTCCTGGCAGTCCTCTAGGACTGCAAGTTACAGGCTAGATGCTAAGCTGTATTGGTAGAGGAAGTTTCCCTTAAAAAAAAAAGTTGGTTTGTTTATCTTACAAGAATTTGTTATCTCTCCCTCCCACTGTCCCCAGCAGCAACACTACCATCACTGAACAATTTTAAAAAGAAAAATCTTGTGCACAGCAGAGAACAAAAGAAAACTCAGAAGGAAGCAAAGATGGACAGCTATCAACACAATGCGTAGTATTTATTATATAGGCTTTTGAAATGGAAATTTATTGCTGTATATTTTAAATCCTCTTTTACATTTACTGTGTGCATAGCAGTGCTTTTTTTCTTTTCATATTTTGTATTTAAATTTCAGTATTTAAGTTTATAATATGTTTCTTTTTCTTTTCTTATTGTGTTTTTAAGTTTCAGTATTTAAGTCTAAAAATTTAAAAAACAAATAAAAACCTCATAGCAAATACATGTATAAGTCTACCAAAACAAATTCCCACATTGGCCATGTCCAAAAACATACATCTCCTTCACGTTAAGTCCATCACCTCTCTGGAAGGAGGTGGTGATGAATTTCACCTTCAGACCTGGGAAAGGGAATTTTCTCATCAGGAGTTCCTTATACCAATGAAATTATCTGGACTGTTGCAATAGCCTGCTGGTGGGTAGCTTATTTGTACATAGTTGTTCTCATGCTGTCTTCCCCAACAGATTATAAGCTCCTCGAGGACAGGGACTATCTCTTGCCTTTCTTCGTATCCCCAGAATTTAGCACATTGTCTGGACCATTTTTGTTGTTGTTTGGCTGTTTTAGTCATGTCTGACTCTTCATGATCCCTTTTTTGGGTTTTCTTGGCAGAAATAATGGAGGAATTTGCCATTACCTTCTTTACCTTCTCTAGTTCATTTTACAGATGAAGAAACTGAGTCAAAGCATTAAGTGACTTGCCCAGGGTCACACAGCTAGTAAGAGTCTGAGGCCAGATTTGAACTCAGGTCTTCATGACTCCAGGCCTGGCATTCTATCCTTTGAACTATCTAGTTGCCCCTGGCAGCTGGCACATGGTAGGTGTTAATTAACTAACTGAAATCACAGTAGTAGTCCAAAAATATGTAATAAATAATGTAGATGTGAGAATCAAACTCTGGTCCTTTGACTCCAAGCCAAGGGCTTTTTCTATCATCAAGTTCTTTGCCTGTCTGCTCCCCTAACAGCAAATCAAGGTACTAGACAGGCAAGGACCTCCTTACCTTCAGGGACTTTATCAGTCAGCCAGACTGGTCTTCTTGCCATGCCTCAAATAATAACCCATCTCCTCTCTCTGCACCTTTACAGGAGTACACACTCTGTTCATCTCTCTCTGTCTCTTAAAATCTATCATTTCCTTCACAACTCAGATCATACCACCTTTTATAGGAAGCCTTTCCTGATCCCCCCTAGATGCTAGGGCATCTCCCTCCCCTCAAAGGAAAATAACTTGAATTTCTTTTGTATATACATACACACACATTACATACATATATCTCCCCCCAGTAGAATATAAACTCCATAAAGATAAGCAATATTTTTCACTTTTGTATCATGCCAAGCACAGTTCTTGGCACACAGTTGATGCTTAATAAGTACTTATGCATTCATTAATTGATTAAATCTTATCACCCTCCCAGACTGGTGGTTGTAAGTGCCCACCTTCCATCCTGAGACGGAAACCACCAGAGTGCCCTATAACAGGTGACAGGAGAAGGGCTGAGAGGCGGGTACGCTTCCAAGAGCCCGAGGAGACGACTGTGCATGGTAAGTGTGTGGGGGAGGACATGGGCACTGGTGTGGGGCTGTGGGGGGCAGTGGATGAAGCGCTCCTGATTTTTGGACTTCTAGGCCAATGTTCTATATGTAGATAACCCCCTTTACCGCCTTCCTTTCTCATGGACAGGGCCATGGAGTACATTTGCATAGCCCTAGCGGTGTTATCAGCTCCCACTTTGATAATTTATTAATTTATTACTGGTAAAATTAAGCCCTCTTGAACCTCCAAAGTGAAGAGAAACCCTATTTATTCCATATCCAATAATACTACCATCTTCCATGTGTAGGGCTATCCCTACAGCTTAAAGTACTTTCAAGCACATTCTCTTTTGATCTCCACAACAACCCTGATAGAAAATCAGGGCAGACATTATTATCACCATTTTAGAGATGGGGAAACTGAGGGCCAACTAGAGGAAGTCACTTGCCCAGCATCACACAGCTCACTGGTATTGGGAGCAAGAACTGGAAGACAATTCTTCCAACTCCCAAGTCAATATTCCATCCATTACACTGAGTTTATTGTTGTTTAGTCACATCCAACTCTTCATGACCCCATTTGGGGTTTTCCAGGCAAAGATAATGGGGCAGTTTGCCACTTTGTCTCTAGCTCATTTTACAGATAAAGAAACTGAGGCAAACAGAGGTTAAGTGACTTACTCAGGGTCACACGTGTCTGAAGCCAGATTTGAACTCAGCTCTTCCTGACTCCAGAGCTGGCTTTCTATCCATTTAGCTGCCTATATTTTTATTTTTATTACTCTGAGCTACTTCTCAATAAAACCAGAAAGTTCAAATTCTCAAAATGATGTTTGCATCTTGTACAATGGCAAAGGAGAGTCACAATAGTGACTCAGTGTCATGGTAAAAAAAAAAAAATTTTAAACCAATCTGAATCATTAAGGGAAAATTACTATAACCCCATAGGTAAAATACAGTGCCTGCCCTCAGAGAGGCAGCTAGGTGGTGCAGTAAGTAGAACACTGCCCATTCATCATCATCATCATTGATTTAGATCTGGAAGTGACCTTAGAGGACTCCTAATTCAACCTGCTCATTTTACAGGTGAGGAAACCCAGGGAGGCTAAATGATTTGCCCGACATTGAACAGGTCAGATTTGATCTCAGGTCTTCCTGACTCTAGGACCAGCACTCAATCCACCTCTCTACCTTCCTGTCCCCATGATAAGCATGTCATGCGTAAGTTCACTGGGTCCTAGCCAGGACTTAGAACCAAAAAGGACCTTAGAGATCATCTTGTACTTGGGTTCTTCACCTTTTTTGTGTCATAGATCCCTTTGGCAGTCTGATGAAGCATAGCTATGGACTTTCTCTCAGAATCACCTTTTTTAAATGCATAAATTAAGGAAACCAATTATATTAAAATATAGTTATCAAAATGTTATAAAAGCAAGTTTATAGATTTCCAGACTAGGAGCCCTGGATTTAGTCTAATATATTATAGGAAGTAACTAAAGCCCATTGAGGTTAAAAGGACTTGCCCATGTTCACACAAATAGCAAGTAATAGAATCCAGATTCGAGCCTAGATCTCCCTTCAAATCCAAAGATTTGTAGACTGCACCATACTGCCTTTCCTAAAGAGAAGTCACCAGAGGGGGAAAAAAAAATAACAGGTTAGCTTCAATAGCCACCCAAGAAATGAAGCTTGATCTAATACCAAAAATAAAGCAAACACACCAATATTGGATAATAATCACTTTAAAGAGAATTAACAATTGTTTTGGCATCTGTAAAGAAGTATCTATTATCTATAATGGGAGTTCTATTATCAATAAAAATATAACAAACTGATAGCAAAAATCAGCTACATGGAAAAAGCAGTGGAAAATTTAAATGAAGAAATGGGATCAATGGGAAATGAAATTCTCTTGCTGGAAGGTAAATTAGAAGCAACAGAGCATGAAGCAAAATAAGGTCAAAGGATAACTCAACTGGAAGAAGGTTTGATGACTTTAGAAGTAAAAATGTATCTAGGAGAGAGTTTAGAGAGAGAATTTGTTATTAGATTACCTGAAAATGAAAAAAAAATAAAGTCTAACCATTGTTTTTCATAAAACTATTTAAGAAATGTTCCCAGAAATAGCAAGATTTCAAGGCAACTATAGATAGATAGAATTCACCAGACTTCCTCAGAGAGAAAAGTCAGATTCAACTCACCCAAACACATATTGTCCTCAAACATCAAAGGTGCCCCAATTTGAATTTCACAGGATTATTCACCCATCATGAGAAAACAGGGAAAAAGCTGGAACATGATGTATAGAAAGTAAAGAAAATTGGACTTCATCTGTGAATCTTCTACTGAGCTAAACTAAAGAAAATATTCAAAGATAAACAACATATGTTTGATTCCCCACATCATTTCCAAGTTTCTATAGTAAAAAGACTGACTGGTGCCTTTCATATGCAAATCAACCCAGGAAGAAGCCTCCAGGTACTATAATTCCTGGAAAGACCATATTTGAAATGCAAATCACTGGTGACCATAAAGTAAAATTCTGAATCTGTAAATCACTAGAAGGAGACTCTGTGTAAATGTTATATGGGGTTAGCAAAATAACAATAGTCATGTTATGACCTGAAATTATCTCATGGGGTAGAGGAGCAGAAGTGGATGGCAACAAATTATCATTCATGCTCAAAGGGAACAAAAATTCAGAGAGGTTGTTATAGTCTGCTGTGCTCTCTTGGGATGGGAGCACAGGCTCAGGAAGGGAAACATGTAAATGTTGTACAGAAATAGCAACACTTACGCAGTTAGGGAGAGAGGCCTGCAATTATGTTGTTGGAGGACGAGGTGTCAGAAAGTACATCAGAATGACCAGAATGCTGGCATGGTTCCCACCCTGGAATCATCCAGGCAACAAAGTATTTTTCACAATTAGCAAATGCCAGCAGCAAGGACTTTTTGGTTGACAATTAAAGGTCACAAATGGACTCCTGGTATTAGGTGCGGGGAGAAGATGGAAGGGGGGAAGTGTTGGAGATCAGTTAACCAACAAATCATATTTATAAGCCTGGTACAACAAATAGCAAAAATGAATGAAGGGTCTGGAAGAGAAAGTTTTTGATTATAAGGGTCACAAATACTGAACAAAAAAGATTGGGGAAAAGAGAAGAGGGTGAGTAATCTTAAAAACAATACTCCTAGGGAGGAAAGATGAGAAAGAGAAGTCACTCAAAAAGCATTTGTTAAGTACCTACTATGTGACAGGCACTGTGTTAGGTACTATAAAGAAAAAAATACATATAGTCAGTTGAACCAGTCCAGAAATTGGAGTTAGTGCTTTGTGACTGTGTTGAGATATCTGTGTTTGGGGTGGGGGTGGGAGGGAGTGCGGGGGGGGGGGGGGGGGTTAAAATAAAAAAAAAAAGGGTTTGTTGGGGAGGGAGGGGGAGGGGGTGGGGGGGAAAGGGGGGGGGGGGGGGGGCCAGGAGGAGCCCTACCCTTAAGGAATATACTAATGAAGATAAATGAACTAATGCAGAAACCGGAGTTAGTATCTGGATTCAGATTTTGTCAAAGGTTTTGGTTGTCACAGAAAGTGTCTGTATGCTAGGTGTCTCAGTAGGTAGAGTGCTGGGCCTGGAGTCAAGAAAACCTGAGTTCAAGTCTAGTCTCAGTTACTTACTAGCTGTGAGACCCTAGGCAAGTCACTTAACCTCTGTTTGCCTCAGTTTCCTCATCTGTAAAATAAGAATAATAACAGCACCTACCTCCCAGGGTTGTTGTAAGGATCAAGTGGGATAATAATTATAAAGTGCTTAGCACAATGCCTGACACATAGTAAGTGCTATATAAATGTTAGCTATTATTAATTTACACAGAACATGTGACAAAAAGATATAGGTCCAAATAGAGATTAAAAAGTAAAAATGACTTGTTTATGACTAGATCAAAGACCAAATTATAGAAAAATATACACATATATGGATAATAATGCAGCATATCAAAATTTGTGGAATGCAATTGAAGTAGTTCTAAGACAATTTATTGATCTATTAATAAAAGAGGAAAAAAACATCAATGCACTCTTTTTAGTTTAAAAAAATAGACTATCAGCAAATTAATACACTTAAATGAGCACTAAAAAAATCTTTAAGGTCAAATGAGATTGTCAATTTAATTAATAAGCAAAACAAATTTAAAAGGCATTTAAATTAATAAACTATTACCTGTGTTAACAAAAAAGAAGACAAAAGGAAACTAGTTGGCCAGAGTGAAAAAAAATAAGGGAGAAATCATTAAAAGTCATAAAGAAATAAAGGAAATTATTAGAGAATACAATGCAGTATTATATGGCAAAAAAATGAGAATGCGAAAGAAATTATTGAATACCTACAAAAACATAAAATACTCAAATATACAAAATGTAAAACAAATTATATTAGTAAATAAATATTGGAAAAAACAACCAAATGAACTCCCCTTTAAGAAAAAAAAACTCAGCAAAACCAGATGTATTCATGAGTGAATTCTAGCAAACATTCAAAAAACAAATGATCACAAGTTTTCAAAATTTCTACCCAATTCCTTCTATGAGACAAATATGGTTTTAATAGGCAAAACAGGGAATGGCATGGCAGAGAAAGAAAACTATAGACCAAATAAATGAATATAGGTACAAAAATATTAAATAAATTGCCAGCAGATGCAATACTTCCACAATTTACTCATCATTGTCATGTGAAACTTACAGGAAGTTTACAAGGATAGTTAAAAATTAGGAAGTTAATTGTCACAGCATAGGCTCACCATTATTAATCAATATAACCCTAGAAATATTGGCAATAGCAATAAGAAAAATGAAGGGATAGGCATTGTCAAGAAGAAAGCAAAAATATCTCTACTTGCCAATGATTTGATAGTTTATTTAGATAACCAATAAAATAATAATAATATTAATGAAAATAACAGGTCAATATAAGCAAAGTAACAGGATATAAGACAAACCTATAAAAATT